ATCCAATTCCAGATCTATGTTCCATAGAAATTTGTCACAAGAACAAATAGTTTATGCTAGAAAATCATCAAATGTTACTTAACTGAAACAATTTAGTAATAGAAATAGGGAAGAATTCCTACAAACCAATGGAAAGTTGGATTATCCATTATATGAAATTTGTAATTGCAATCACTGCAGATAAAGGTGGCACACCCTCTTAGTAAATCCAAGGCAATATCTTCACATTGGCATATCACATGTTGGAAGACATTGTCACTGGGGCATTATTGTTCACTGAGCCTTGCTTTACAGAGGATCCCCATGAAGCACTAATAATGTTCGTGGCAATATGCAAGAATTTAAAACCAGCAAAAGGGAGCAAATGGTTTTGCACAGAAGTGTAAACTAAACATGAACTTACATGATCTAAGCATACTTTTTAATACAGAAGTGGTTTGCATTTCCTTTTTCTGGGATATATACATCCCAGTCTGGTCTGTATATGTCACCTTTACACATAGTTCCCCTTCTACTACTGTGCTACAGGTAGTCCTTGGTTAACTATAGTAATTGGGACTTTAATTTCCACCACAAAGCCATGCAATCATAAAGCATGATGTCATATAACCACATTATTTTGTATTGGCAATCTTAGCAATCACTGTTGCCATCGTTAACCAAATATCACTGTTTGTTAGGCAATCCAAGCCATTCATTAATGCTTATTTTTTTAATGGATTGGATAAAGCTTATTTCTGCTAGAAAACTTGTGTATTTACCTGAGATTTCCATATGTGTGGATCATGCTGGAAATCACTATGTTAGTTGCATTTGGTGGATATGTATTTGGTGGTTATGAATTTATAGTAAGTTAGGATGAAATAATTACTCATATTACAATTGCTTTGTGTATTTACTTAGCTCTATGTACAAGTATTAAGGATGCAGCTGAGAACTGAACTATTCCCTTATATTCTGCACATACTAATGTCTTCTCTCAGTTTGCTTCTTATTGGAAATTTCTCTCATGTAATATTTTCATTTTCATCAGTTTTATTTTGTGCCTTATCTAGCCGTAACACAAGTAACATTTTCTGTTATAACCTCTGAGGAAGTATTTAAACATTTTGGCTTGCAAGTGTTAATTTGCATTTGTATGCACATTCAAAGACATATTTTAAGGCAAATTGGGAATTTAACTTAGACATAATAGTTCTTGTTATCTGTACAAAGCTTTTCTCTAAGCTCTAACTAAATGTATTTACCTGAGGTTTCCCTACGGATAATCAGAAGACTTCTTACCAATAGACATTAAAAATTGTGGATAGAACATGTTTTCTTTCTAAGCGAACCTACTGACTATTGCTCATCATTTCTGTTATTGGTTGCATTCTGAGTAGGGTCAATGAAACATGTTCTTTATATAGTGAGATGACAATAATTTATTCCCTCATTATTGATATTTTCAGTATTAGGGATTCTCTTTGTCCAGAATGGGTTAGGGTTAGGGTTAGGGTTCAAGTCAAGTAGTATGTGCAATGCATAGCCAGTTTCTCTGGAAGCTCCATAGGAATATTAATATTTTAAATATGTGTGTGCATGCATAGACACCCTTCCACACATATATACAATTTGGCCATTTTAAAAAAAGGTTATAGTAGAGAATACATACATACTTTTTCTCTCTTGGTGGTTAATCTTGATTGGCAAATGTTTTGCTTCTGCTTTTAGTCAATTTGTGTATTCTTCCCAATTTCTTATAAATAGTAATATTATAAATGTCTTCAAAATTCATACTTCACTAAAAACTGAATTATATCAATTGCCTATTTAGCATTTATATATTAAACTTAGTCAATATAAGANGGGAAACTCACTTAACAATTATCTTGTTCAGCAAAACATTTGTTCATAAGTTGAAGACTACCTGAACTTTTCTTAAAATATGTTCAATGGTTTGAATTGAACTTAATATTTGAAAAAGTGTTTAACCAATATTAAATATATTCTATTTGAAAAGAACAATTTTATTGCTACAGACTGTATTATATCAATACATTTTCATTTTTAGCAATGTTACCACAGTGCCAATTCAAGTTCAGTTTATGATTCCGTTTATTCCCATTTTTTTTAACATGTGCTAAACCAACACAGATACATCTATCTTATATTAATGTATATTATTTCTTTTCCCCCTGTTGATAATTATTTTTGGAGGTTTCCTATGGTTTCCATTCATTTGTTTAACTCTAACCTATCAAGATTACAGAAATGGGATCTGAAGCTCAAAACAAAACAAATGGGATGGAATTTTTAAAAGGTTTTGGGAACACAGAGGAGACAGACAATTCAGGGAAGAAACAGCCATTGCAAAAGAGAGATCATAGGGAGAAAAAAGACTGGAGGAACTATACTTGAATCACATTAAGCATAAGTTTTTGAGAAAATTTGGTAGGCTTTCAGGATTCTGTTACACTACCCTATCAACAATAAAGATCTTTCCAGAAATCCAAGTGGTTGTTATTTCTGAACTTGCCAGATTTGGAAGTAGACCAATTTCACAAGAATGAAATGTTAGCAAGAAAGAGGATGAAAGGATTCCTTTTTAACTTTTAAGTAAATAAAAACAAAATAATCTGTGATGGAGGAAATATAAATATAAGGTTGCTCAAAACATGGCTTCTTAAAAGAACCTTTAGTAGAAGAATATACAACAAAAGCTAAGCAACCTATACAATAGTGATGGTTCCCATTTTGAATCAGCTTTGACTTAAAAGAGGCTGCAAGTTTTATAAAAACGCTGATGGTACTTTTACAGAGGCAGTATTCCTTAGAAATAGAAAATTAGAGAAACAACCAAAGTGCTCAAGAGAATGGATGACTTTGGATCAATCTTACCTTGTGCCAATTAGTTACCTGGGAGATCTTGAATCCTGCAAATTCCAAGTGTATATTTGGTCATTTATTAGATGTACATTTTACCTTTCAGGAGCTGAAGGAGGGTGGGAGGGAGGAGAGGGAGAGGGAGAATGGATGTAATATTGAGAAGTTTGGTTTGGCAAGGAAAAAATAATTGATTCTGAAGCAATACAAATCCCATTATCATCCTTTCACAATCCACACAAAGGGTATTGGGGAAAAATGCTATTGCCCATCTACACCTCTATCCAGTTTGGATCCTCTAAACTAAACTGGAAATAATTTGTTTATCAATGCTGGTAGTATGAAGAGACAAATCTGGAAATAATTCTGATATAGCACAAACTCCTATGTAGAAGTGTCTGAAAATTGATTTTTTTTAAAAAAGCATGTAAAGCAGAGAGAGTTATGGTGATTTGATTTTATTTTTCTTCAAAATATTTGAAAAACAGGGTAAGGATGTTTTAAAAATATTTTAAAATATGCTCCAAGTTCATCCAGATTTGAAAAATATGTGTATTCTTTCAAGTATCCAAAGAACTTCATATTCATTACCTAGTTGTAGTCCTTACAACAATCCTATAAAATTAGTATTGTATTTTGTAGGGTGGTGTGGGGCGTGATTTTAAGCCTGAGAATACTGCTTGCATAAGCGGAAATTAAGATTCATAGAAGACTCTGACCTTTCTCACTTACTGCTGAACTACAACATTGTATGTGCTTAATGCTTTAACCAAAATCTTTTCTTAAAATCAAAAATTATCAAGTGAACAAGAAGTGGCACAATAGGAGACCCACAGGACTTTTAAATTATCAGAAAATTTTAAAGAACCTTTCCCTATAACATTGCTATAATCAGGAAGATAAGTCCATTTTGTTTACTATTAAAAAAAAAACTTGGTCACTGTTGCTACTCAGTTAAGAATCATGAGCTCTTGCAGATCCAGATATTGCTTCTTAGAGAATAGAGTGAATTGCATTTTCTGCTTCCCCTAAATTGCTCATCTTCATTTATATAATGTTTGATTTATCTTTATTTTCATTATTGANTTGTATGCACATTCAAAGACATATTTTAAGGCAAATTGGGAATTTAACTTAGACATAATAGTTCTTGTTATCTGTACAAAGCTTTTCTCTAAGCTCTAACTAAATGTATTTACCTGAGGTTTCCCTATGGATAATCAGAAGACTTCTTACCAATAGACATTAAAAATTGTGGATAGAACATGTTTTCTTTCTAAGCGAACCTACTGACTATTGCTCATCATTTCTGTTATTGGTTGCATTCTGAGTAGGGTCAATGAAACATGTTCTTTATATAGTGAGATGACAATAATTTATTCCCTCATTATTGATATTTTCAGTATTAGGGATTCTCTTTGTCCAGAATGGGTTAGGGTTAGGGTTAGGGTTCAAGTCAAGTAGTATGTGCAATGCATAGCCAGTTTCTCTGGAAGCTCCATAGGAATATTAATATTTTAAATATGTGTGTGCATGCATAGACACCCTTCCACACATATATACAATTTGGCCATTTTAAAAAAAGGTTATAGTAGAGAATACATACATACTTTTTCTCTCTTGGTGGTTAATCTTGATTGGCAAATGTTTTGCTTCTGCTTTTAGTCAATTTGTGTATTCTTCCCAATTTCTTATAAATAGTAATATTATAAATGTCTTCAAAATTCATACTTCACTAAAAACTGAATTATATCAATTGCCTATTTAGCATTTATATATTAAACTTAGTCAATATAAGATTTTAATCATTTTTTAAAAGTTTAAACTAAGATTTATATCACATAATTAACCAGAGAACATATTGGAGAGCCTTGTATCATTCAATCCAGAACAACTGTCAAATGCCATTATGGAAATGTAGAAATTCTTGTATCTTGCTCTAATATTACAAATACTTGAGCACTGATAATGAAGTTGAAAGTATGTGCTGTCATAGGTTGATGATATGACAATTGTTTCTATTAGCTTGATCAGCTAAAACATACAGCAGTGGCATTACATAAACTTTCAAGTTGTTGAAAAAGAATTTTAAAATTACTTTTGAGTTTTTATAATCTCCTTTTTTTCCCTCTTAGGAAACCTGCTGCAAGATCCAATTGCACCCACAAACTCTACATGTCAACATTATGTCTGCAAAACCTGTAAAGGCAAGAAGATGATGATGAAACCATCATGTAGTTGGTGCAAAGACTATGAGCAATTTGAAGAAAATAAACAGTTAAGCATTCTGGTGAACTGTTATAAAAAACTATGTGAGTATATAACACAGACACCATTAGGACGAGATATTAAGCAAGCTGTGGACAGTTCCCCAGATCTTTTGACTTTGCTTAAAGATGGCACCCCACTCAGTGATGACACAGAAAAAGCACCTGATGAACCCTTGGCATTGTGTTTGATCCATTCCCCTTCACCTTCAACTTCAGAGTATGCTGAGCCTCCAACAAGTTGTTCTATACCTGAAAGCACCTATGATTGTGATGTAAAAGGCTCCACTGTTAATGGTCTGCCCAGTTGTAATGGGCTCTCAGTAGATAAACTTGAAGTAAATATTCCATCTCCTGAACATGCAAATACAGTCAATGTATGTAATCCTGGACAATACATAAAAACTGAAGATATTTCTAGCAGTCTTCAGCCTATGTGTGACATAGTTTCCCCTGGTGACTTGTGTGCAACCGGCATTGATATTCATGGTTTCAGTGAAGACATCAAACCTGGTGACCCTCTTTTACTCAGTGTTGAGGAAGTGCTACGGAGTTTGGACTCTAATGCAGGAGTATGTAGCCCTAATCTACAGCACAGCTTGGAAACCAATTTAACAAATGGTCCATTTTTGCAGCTTTCTCCCCCACCAACTAGCCACAATGTGTATATATCAGTGGATGCTTCACCTCATGGGATTTCATGTACAGCTGCAACACCTAAGGTAGCAAAATTAAACAGAAAGCGATCACGATCAGAAAGTGACAGTGAAAAGCTTCAGCATATTCCAATTTCTAGCATTCTTTGCGGCCCAACATTGGGAGCCTCAGCTCCAATAATGATGAAACAAGAATCAAAGATGTCTTTGCAGTCAATAGCAACTGTACCTAATGGAGGTACTGCTCCTAAAATAGGTAAAACTGTACTGTTATCGAATAAAAGCATGAAAAAAAATATAGACCATACCACCAAGAAATCTCATCCAAAATCTAAATCAGGAATGCTAAAAAAGTCAAAAGAAAAAAATCCTAGCAGTCATGTTGTGCCAGGAAGTCCAACAAAAACTGTGTACAAAAAGGCACAAGAGAAAAAGGGGTGTAAATGTGGCCGAGCTACACAAAATCCAAGTGTTCTTACATGTCGTGGCCAGCGCTGCCCTTGCTACTCGAATCGCAAAGCCTGTTTAGACTGCATATGCCGCGGCTGCCAAAATTCATATATGGCTAATGGGGAAAAGAAATTGGAGGCATTTGCAGTGCCAGAAAAGGCCTTGGAGCAGACTAGGCTTACTTTGGGCATTAATGTGACCAGCATTGCTGTGCGCAATGCCAGCACAAGTACCAGTGTAATTAATATGACAGGGTCACCAGTAACGACATTTTTAGCTGCCAGTACAAACGATGATAAGAACTTGGATGAAACTATGGACATGAGATATGACTGCTGAGTCTTTCTTTCTTTCGCCCCTCCTTTGGTAAGGGGACTGCTACAATTTGAAGGCAGCTATGGTTCTCTTTAACTTGCCGGAGCTCCTGCAAATAGATCACTTGTATCAAGTGTTTTCATTGCTATGTTGTGTGTTAGTGTCAGGGAAATAGTTTGCTGGTAATTGCGGAATTATCCCAAAACTGCCTTTAGATCTTGCAACATCTCATAGTTTGAGATCAAATGCTAATGTAAATGATTTTTTAATACAGAACTACTTTTTTGGCAAATACTGACCTGGTTGTACCAATTCATGCTTTGTGCTTAATCAGAAATTGATTTAATATACTGAAATTATTTCTAGTCAGTCCATCACAGTTGTGCTAATTTATGATGTATCCATGTTCAGTATCATCATTGCAAGAAAAACGACATGCTAAACAAATAAAAACTTCAACAGCCAATCTTGTAATACCACATTATTTGTGGATAGGGAAGTTAATAATTCAGCACCTAAACTTCGTTCAGAAATAAAAGATATTACTATAATTGTCCAACTACTGTATGCTGACCTGAAACCAAGAAATGATCATATTGGACTTTAGCTTCAGTTGATATCACTCAAGACATTCAAAAGCTTGATCATCTTTTAGGGAAAAAAAAGTTGGCATTCCTGTTTTTTAATTTCACACTTTTTTTACAGATTGATGTCATTAATCTGTGTCATGCTATGTCATAAACTAAACATTTATCATCGGAATATTTTTGCTGAGTTCATTATGAAATAGATACTGTATTTTTTTAACTGTTATGCTAGTTGGCTAAAAATAAAAATGGTTTAAGTCTTATGCCAAAGTTACTGAGACATCATTATATTTTAGATTTTAAAATCTGACAATTATCAGCACATTCTTGCAGTTTAAGGCATATAACACTGTCAAAACATAATTTTCACTTGAAATTAACATATCTCTTCCAAGATTAAGCCCTTGGTTTTCCCCAGTTTTGTTTTTGCCTGGTTGGAACCAGGATACACGAGGTGAAGTGTGGCAGGCTCCTGGATTAAATCCTATTGTGCAAGAATAGAATATGTCAAGAATGGAGGTTCTCTTAGTTGATAACCTTAAAGAGCTGATAGAAACCCTGCTGATTATGCGGGATTTTGAAATTAATTCACAATTACACCATTGGAAAAGTCAAGCCACATTGAAAGTATGTTAATTCATATCAATTTTACTTATACCAGGATTGGTGTTTAATATTTAATTTTTTATTTTGCATAAAGTATGGGCTGACTAGAATAGAAAATATTGGGTTGTGTCCAATTAAACCTCTTCCTTACAACCCTTTAGGAAGGAGGGTAAGATTGTTGGACAGGAAATGTCCTATTTCACAAGTCAAAAGTTTCTTTTGCAACACTGGATTTTGCCCTTTTTGTTATCTTGCTTTATAAAGGACTATGTGCTGATTTACAGCAATATCTCAGCAGCTGTTGTAAAAATACATTATACCCTAGATTCTTAAACACCTTTATGTTTGCCATCTAACTGTTAACTGGTTAACATTGCTAATGAACTGTAACATTATATATGTTGGATTTGGCACAAAGCATGTACAATGATGGTTACTAGGTCTAAAAATAAGACAAACATTTTGGATACTGGTTGGGTGATGTCTCTTTTTTCTTCTATAGTGTACCAGGTGTCATTTTATGTCAATGTGAGCAGATAATTATTTTGTTGACTTTCAGATTTGTTTTCCCCCGTCTTTTCTGTGGGTGGGGCAGGGTGTGGGAGGGAGGGTTAAAGCCATAGGAAGAAGAATGTGATGTAAGTGTTCAGTATGTTTTTTTTTGTTTCTGTTTTGCAAGAAGAGTTGAAAAATATTTTTGATAATGAGAGTAAATGGTGGAAAATGCTCTTTAGTATTCCTGTCTTTTTTTGCAGCTAACCTCTTGAATTTTAAATTTAATTTGTAATTTAATATGTCCTATTAAAATATATCAGTTGAATATGAATATGATTTTTATGTGGACCAAATAGGATATGCCATGATTTATTTTCCATGTTTGAGTCTTAACTTTCTAAAGCAAAACTTTTTTTTCCAGTATCTTAAGAAGACTAATCAAATCAGAAGTCAGAAAAATTATCCTCACATATATGGTGCTATGGTTCAATTATGAAGTTCTAATGTGTAATAAATATGCCTTTTCTCCATACAGAAAAATTTCGGTATTTTTCAGATGTACTGAATTCTGTTAACTGGTTATTTAAATATTCCTTGGAATTCTTTATTTGTTATTATGTATCTTTGATGGTTAATTCAAGTTTGTTTTAATGAAACAAATTTTCTTCTTCACTGCCATGAAGCTGAGGTAATAAATGTCAGTCCTAAAACTGAATTTTGTAGAAGAACATAAAACATTTAGTGCTCATAATACTTTTTAAAAGATTTCTGTGCTGAATTTAATGAAATAATTACACAACCTTCCATGCTAGCCACAAAAGATTATCAAAAGTAGTAGTTTGGAATCCCTATATTCTAACAACTTTTCTTTGTTCTTTTGGTTATTGTAAAACATAATTTTAGAGAAGGAAATTACCATATTTTTGGACTATAAGACTCACTGGAGTATAAGACGCACCAAGACTTTGAAGAGGTAAATTAATATATATATATTTTTGCCCTCCCCAGTCCCTAGGAGCACTCTGCAGGCCTTCCAAACCCTCTGCACCCCCAAACCCTCTGCTCCATCTTTGTGAAAAATGGGGTTGGCAGAGAGTTTGGGAGGCCCGCAAAGTGCTCCTGGGAGCCGGGGAGGGAAGAAATGTGACGAGTGGGGGGGTTAGGAGGTAAATAAAGGGTGTGGGAGGCCTGTAGAGTGCTCTTGGGGGCTGGGGAGGGCAAAACGAGCAAAGAATGGGGCGAGCAGAGAGTTTGGAAGGCCTACAGTGCTCCTGGGGGCCAGGGAGGGCAAAAATGTGATGATGGGTTGGGAGGCAAAAAATGGGCCCATTTTTTTTTTAAACTGGGTGTGCAGAGGGTNTTTCAGATTTTTATTCAACTGATTCAAAATAGCTGTATATTCTGTCACCCACATATTACAACCTTATTCGTTTCTCTTCAGATATATGTCCAGTTTAATGAGAATTAGTTGTGGGTAAGTGTGAATTCTATTTTGTCTTTCTGGCTATTTCTCCATCTCCATAATTCCTCTTATGAAATGGAGTATAAATAATATCCACTAGTTTTAAAAATATTTTTTAATTGCAAAAGAAAAACAATACAAAGTAAAATAGCTAAGGCAAAGCCATTTCCAACATAAGTCAATTTTGACAAACTAACAAGTTTCAGAACTTTTTTCTACCTCTTAGAATATCTATAAATTTTAACATTTAACAAAGTGTATGATACATCAATAAGCATTAATTACAAGGATGACTTCTTTAGTTTTATAATCCCCGCTGTTCATTAAAATATCTTAATTAAACTTAATATATTTTGATTTTAAATATGCAGAACAAATTATTTTGGCATTGTACGTAGTCTTTGAAAACTGTGCAATATGCTCTAAAGCTATCAGAATAGTTTTCACGTTAAAATTGGAGAACTATGTTGAATTATCTCCTCCACCTATTATTTTTATTAATAGACTTGATAGAATGCTTAGAATAATTAAACTTGGACTATATCTTTTGCTCAATACTGCCTCTTAGTGGCAATCCACACACACCCTCATCACACAAGAAGATATGTGGTTGCTCTATTAAAAAATAAACCATGGATAAAAACTTGATATCTCTTATAGTATACTTTTTAAAAAATAAAGCCAAGCAATCCCATTTCAATCAATGAAAAGCATTTTGCTCAATAGGAAAAGCTACGGTACATATTATTATTAACCAAATACTGCTTGAGCTCTTTACTGAAAGGAATATCTATATAATGTACCTAATGGAACCATTCTAACCCCATACTTATGAGGTAGGTGTTATTATTTCTGTCTTTAGGCAGAAAGATTAACCTACAGCATTTCATAAAAGCAAAAAACCCACTTTTTCATGCTATTGAATATAGTATCTTATATTCCCTAGCAAAACAACATTTCTGTCAATACATATTTTTGGCTTCAAGTGTAATAATGCTACTAATAATAATGGCCTCTGGTATTTGACAACAAGATAATGATCTCTCCAGACAATTATCAGTTATCTCTCTATCTACACATTTGTGTTTAACATAAATAAAGGGATTTAGGAGTGATAAAGGGATGCCTTTAAAATCTACAGTTTAGAGCATCCCTGTAATAGGAACATTACAATAGAAATCACATTGCTAGTAAAATAAGTTAGGGACATTCAAGGCTTTTGAGAAATTTAAGCAAATTGTACTTAAGAAACTGTGTTGGAATTTTTCCTAAAGCAATTTTCTTCAGATAAATTATATATTTCAAAATAGATTAGATGACTAATTGTTAGAACACTTCAAAGTAAAAGCTGTAAGAGGTTTGCAGGAGCTTGGTTCACCATGCAGGCCAAACTAAATTCAGTATACAGCAATGTTCATTCCAATTTGAACCATGCCAGTCATTTCTATTAAAAACCAGTTGAAATTTACCATTGTTTTGTAAGTAATAAATTAAGGTGTATTATCAATTTCTGCACCATAAGTGAAATTGTTAAGTCAAAATGTGTTCAATCTGTTAGATACTTAGTGTTAAACTGTTAAACTATCATAAATACTTTGGGACTACATCAAATATACTAGGGAAATGGGCACTGAACTAAATAAGTTACCTAACAATTGGATGGTGTTACAGGGAGCATTTATGGAACACAAAATTCAAATTATAAGACTTTGAAGAAAATGCATCCAAATCAAAATAATGTATATTAATATACTGTTATGTTTAGATGGTGAAACAGTTTTGGTTGGCATGGGAACAAAATATAACTGTTGTAAGCTTTCACATGCTTCAAGCAGAGAGGTGCTAATGTTATTAAAAACATACTAAGTCCTGCCATAGTTCAAGAAAACAAAACATGTCAGGAAGCTAGGAGAAATCCCTTAAATCATCCGGCAAAGATTGGAAGCAACCCATTTAAGTGCTATTGCTATCGCTATATGCTGACCCTTGGCTCTTAGTCTTGAGGCGCAGAGTATACCCTCCTCCCCTCAAAATAAACAGATTTTCCAAAGCAGTCCTTCACAATAATATGTGATGCGCTGTTGTTTTTTGTTACCACCCCAGTGAAAACACCAAGGGAGGCTTAGATTTTAAGCATGGAGAGTTTTTGTTCACTGTCTTACTCTATTTGAGCAGGACTCTTATGGAAAAAGAAGCAGTAGAAATAAATGCATGTAAGGAGTACAAGGGCAAGAAGTTTCTCTGGACCCCATAAAACTCATTGAAAGTGTTGATTAATGTCTTATTCAGAAGTAATTTTTCTCAAAAGTAACCTTTGGTAAATCTGCTATCCTTTTATAAACTATAGACTGAGAGATCTACTATTAGAGTATTTACATAAAGTGGATCCTATATACTGTAATTCCACAATTGATTACCCCTTTATTTTTAACATTTATCAGATCATATTCAAAAGGAGCTAAAAATAAGAGCTTGATTTTCCCTCCTCTGTGCTATAGAGAAAACTTTATTTGCTGTAGCTTCAATTGCTATTGCTGCAGAAATACCTCTGAGAAGAATTTACTGCTTTTTCTTTTTTTTTCAGCATCAGGGTGGATCCTACATATTAAATACTAAACTTATTTGATCACTTTTTCCTCCTTTTTGTGCATTATTTTTTCTTCTTTTGTTATTATTAGTGTTGAATGTATGCTTTTGTTTTGTTTTCTTTTGTTTGTTTTTCTGTTTTGTATTTTACTTTTTAATTAAAACAAATATTTTTTAAAAGTACATTTTGTAGTTCCAGAATGCTTCTGGGTTTGTTTGTTTGTTTTTACAAATAATTGAAAGTGACAAACATATCTAACACATCATCTTCCTTCAATTTCCCCAAAAATAACAACAGAAAGTCACTGATCCAAAGTCACCCAGTTGGCTTTCATGGCTAAAGCAGGCCTTGATTGTAAACAATCTTTAATTGTAACAAACATTTTTTTAAGTTGCAGATCTTTTATAACCCTGATGTTCAAGGCTGCCTATTAGCAATCCTTGGAGAAAAAACATTTTAAAAGTGCACACAGCACTGTTAAAAATAATAGTTCTATGATAAGCATACCAGGAAAAAAAAAATTTTTTTAAAGGTGTAATAGACTAAGCTCTGTGTGCAATATACCAATAAGGTGTAATAGACTAAGTCTTTGAAACAATTTTTTCTTCCAACTATATAGGATTTTATTGAAAAATATTTGGTAGTGTAAAAAACATACATCATAGTGGAATTTATCTTACGTGATAGGTCCTTCCAGATGAATATTATATAAATTCATTAGTAATGGTCCTCCAGGCGTTCAGATTATGGCTTTCTTTAAAAATAGCTGGAATCTGCTGGATACTGAATTTGAATTTTTTCCCTATAATTGCTTTGAACCTTTCCCACACAGATTTATAACCCAGAAAATTAATAATGGACTTGGGGCTATGAGACAAAACTTTCATTGACAACATGAGAATCATATTCTACATCAATTAACTAGATAAATACTAATATTGACTCTATTCACAGTTGTCTCATGCCATTTAAATGGAATCCTGAAGCTCAACTCTACTTCAAACTTTTAGCATGCAAGTTAAAGTGTAAAGGATAAGTTAGACTGACTATAATGCTGCTACTACAGTATCATCACCACCACCTTTCTACCCAGAATTCCCAAGATATGATATATATACAAAGATTCACACACATAGGAAAAATAAACTCTTTTAGTGTATTTTTACAATGCACAATCATTATCAGAAAGAAGCTAAGCACTTAGGAATTGAACATTATAATCCCTAACTTGTTCAATTTACCCAAAATATGCTCATATTCAATCACTTAAATTAAAACAGTACTTTAAAAATAAATGCAAAAAAATGTCTTTCAAATGAAATTGAGCTTAAGCTGTTTCACCATCACATGAGAAATGGACAAAAATTTATCACTAATCCCTTCAGAATACAGAAAAATCCTTATACACATTGACGTTAAAATCTGCTGCAAAAGCATTTTCAAACAGCTAGTGGTGGTGAACAGGTGCCTTTGAAAAACATCAATTAAAAAACTAACTTGCAGGACTGAACAAAAAGGTCTTTTCACAAAAAGTCTTCTCATTTATAATTCACATATAATATCACTTAAAGTGTGTTTGTTGTAGACTATCATATTTTCTGATATGAATCATTTCATCAACAGGAACAATTGCTTATCCACAACATTAAATTACAGTATTATGTTTGTTGCGTGTAATGTTAGTGTATGTTGATTGGATAATTGGAAGATTATACACCATCAAGTTTTTGTCAACTCTTGGATACCACCTAGATTTTTCCATGATGATCTTGTCCTCTGCTCCATTAGGTCTTCCAATAATGCACCTATCACTACTGTAACTAAGTCCATTTATCTTGCTGCTGGTATCTTATTTCCTTCCCTCTTTCACAGCATTTACATCTTCTATCACTTCAATTATCTTCATTGTCACTTCTAAACAGATTGTATCTATTGTCACCATGGTATTGTTTTATAACAGAATCATAAAATGAAAGCACCTCTGAATGAAAGTCCAGTCTTCTATTCACTGCTGAACTTGCCAAAACATTTTCAACAGGTGATCATGCAGTCTTCATTTGAAGACCATCACTGAAGGGGAACATACTGCCTCACGAGGAAGTCAATTTTATGCCACTTAGAACCACGTGACCAATTTATTGTAAATGTTTCCTTTATAAAATGGATATTACCTTTTAGCTTTAAATTCTTTTTTGAAGAACAAGATTCAAAAGAATGGGTAAGGGAATAAGATATTACCTGCATCTTCTAGGACCTATCTTGTAAATATTATTTTTTACCTGATTTTTGTTTATTCTTGAAAGAGTTTTGTACTCACTTTCAATTGATTCTCATTTTCTACACTTCAATCTGGTGGGACTTCCTACCAGCTATGAATTTTGGATCATTCATGTCTTCGATTAAGTTTGGAAAACATATACCAATTTCTCTTTTATGGAGGGGGATTGTTGCATTTATTAAGGTATTAATGCTTTTTAAAGAAGAATTTAATAAAATTACAGAATAATTCTGTTATTCTATTAAAAGAAAAAATTCCCATGAAGAATAACCATGAAAACAAATGGGCCATCTCTTTTTTCTATTATACTTTAAACCAAAGAAACATGGACTTGATACTAGATTTAAATAAACTCTTGAAAATTTCATAGTAAGTTATCATCATTCAGTATTCTATAATGCAAATAATTATCTGCAGTGAGCTAGAAATACTCTAGAAACTGACAGGTACTTCTGATACATCAAAAAACTGAACATTACTATACAATTATATTGTAAAACAAGAAAAAAACTGAATATAGCTTCTAAATAAAAAAAGGAGGAGGAATAATCCAAAATGGAAAAAAAAATCCTCAAGTATTTATTGATTGTCTTAAATTCTTTTTTATATATAAATATGAAGCTTTTCACCTTTATCCAGTCTTCATTGTTTCCTCACAGGTTCCATGAATGTCTGCACAAATTCTATGCATACCCCAATAGTTAGGAAAATTATCACATTAGAGAAACAAATAGTATATCTTGTATAATTATGATTTTGTTTCAGATGTTGGTACTTCGTCAAATAACATTATTGTTTCTTCGAATGTAAGAACTGAAGACTTGTGTTTAATGATGGTAGACTTTGAGGACAAATCTCTATTTTTATGCTGAAACATGCGAAACAACTAAATTATCTGACTTTTCTTCAATTTCAGACATAGATAAGAGTTCATCTGTTTCATAATCATCTTCAAAGGAACTACAAGAAATGAACAAATGATTTGACTCAGTTTCTAATATTCAATAATTTTAGAAAATATGAAGACAAATATAATATAAAACCTAAAACCCTATGAAACCTAAAGACAAAGCAAGTCTCAATTATTGAATAGGGGAACTGGTAAATACAGCTTTGATAATGTATCGTGACATTCAATTGTACAAATTGTAAGTGTTTTTGAAGCCATTTTCTTCACCACTTGGCCATTTTTCTCCATATATTTTTTGTGCATGCCTTTACTTGCACATTTATAGTGACACAGTATAAATTTTGCAAAATTTATAAGTATTGGGTTCAAACAGTACAGGAAGAGGCACACCGCTTTTAAAGGTAGTTCCTTTTTGCACCTCAGATAAACTAGCATCTGAAATGAATGCTGCTTATTCATCTCGCTTTTTCCACATATGTAAGTGATCTTAGAAGTGCATGCAAGTATCATTCTTTATTGGAATAGGATTGAAGAAGGAGAATATGCAGGTTTCCAAAACACAGGTTATTATTTGGTCTCTAGAATAAACATGGCATAACAAGTGTCTAATAGGAGTGCTGGAGAAGAAAAAAAATACATTTGGTTGATAACAGAGAGGGTGTTTCCAAAATACTACACTACTCTGCCTATCTCCATTCAAGCTTACCAAAATTAGTCTGTAAATCCATCTGTAAATAGATGGATTAAGGCTGAGATTCCTCATGATGAGCCAGTTCCTTTTTCCAAGGATGTTTTTTTTTCAAAGTTTTTTCAACTTTCCAGTCTGGTATGAAATTAATAAGCAGGTCAAACCATGCTTAGCATTTTGAAATCAGCTAAGATAGGCAAGACACTACCAAACACTCATAGTACCTAGCATTCCAGGTTTAGTTACAAACAGGGAAGTCCTTTCTTCTAGTGTGGATTGAGGTCATGGCCTCTAAAATATCAGAAAGTCTTTTGACCTGAGTCTCTCATTTAATCTGTTTCTTTTTTAACTTCATCAGGATTTTGTTCTTATATTTCCATCCTATTGCAAACATCAAGACAAAATTATTTATTTTGGTCATAAGGCTGGTTCAAATTTCCCAATGCATTCAGAATAACCTCCAGGGACTCCTTCTGACCCTAGAATAGTGAGGCTTTCAGGTGCTTTGCAAGGTCTAAGGAATAGGGTTGTGAGATTGATTTTCTCTTTTCATTTTATAGCTTTAGAGATCTTTAATTAGCCATTTGATTTTGATTCTTAGTAACAAAATTTTCTCTGTTTTAACATGCTTTGTCATTTTAAATTTATTTCAAAATACTATTGGTTTCAGCAACTTTAAGATAATTTTGCTCACCCTTCTTGTAACTGTACACTGCCAGACTCCTCAGCTACAAGAATTTCATATTCCTCAGCAGCATATCTGTCCCAATCAGAGGGTTCTGGACTATCATTTTCAATATCCTAAATAAATAGATTAGAAAGAAAAAAACCCAGCAAGTCTCTTAAAGATGATGGCATGCATAACTGTGAGTACAATAAATAGTGTAATAAACTATTAGTAAGCATTTAAAGAAGAATCATTGCATACATTTTGGTAATTATCTGTAAATGAAATATCCTGCAAATATTATGGTACATTCCTAATTAGGTATACAAAATAATTAAAAATTAACAATTGTGTTTGTACGTATCTAAATTTAGATAAGCCAGTCCAGACTGTCTTAATTCATTTCAGCTAAACAGTCAATTCTACAGATACAGGTAGTCCCTGGTAGCCAATTTATTCAGCAATCAAAGTTATGACGGTATTGAACAAAGGAGACCTATGATCTGTCCTTAGATTTCCAGCAGTTGCAGCATCCCCAAAGTTAAGTGATAATGACCTGTGTGCTTAATGCCAGGGTGGTGATTTACATGGCAGTGAGCTGTAGTCATTGGATCACAATTTCCAAGGTTGCTTACTGGCTTTACATAAGGAGTTAATGGGGAACCGAAGTTGGAAGTCACAGTCATGAGAAGACCTCACAATAATGACAACCAGGACTAATGTCACTAAGCACATGATGACTGAGGTCACATAACATCACATTTTATGACCATCTTGCTTAGTGACAACAATGCTGGTCACAATGTATGTTGAAGGCTACCTGTTCAAGAAAATGCAAAATATTGAAATTATTTATATTTAAAAATATTAAGGAATAGACACTTTAGATTCTTCGTTATTATATTTTTTTTAAATTACTTTAGCCATGATACAGGAGTTGTTTCAAAGATTTAATCTCTGATTTAAGGAAAAGGTTGCAGAGTATTTCTGACCTTGCTATCCTTTTAAATTGAAACAATATTGAGAGCTTACATAACACATTAAAACATTATATTACTTATGCATGCACCCACACAAACATATTGCTACCTTTTCATCAACATCATATGGCTTCTTAACTATATTAACTTGCCCAAAGCCAAGGGGTTATGGTTTCAGTCAACAGTAACTGAAATCTGAAACATGATTTGAGCACAGGTTTAATATTAACCGATATTAACAGAAAATGGTATTGCTTGGTTCTTATTCTACTTTTCACAACAGAAAACCCTGACTGTGATTAATGATTACATATCTTACTAATTGTGTCATTACAGGAATCCAGAAAAAGATGTCTTTTTTATTTTATATTCAATGTTAAAATACAAACTCCAAAAAGAGAAAAATACAGGAACAAAGCAAAACTAAACAAGATGTTTAAAAAGTGCACAGAAAATAAGTGGCTCACACAGGTGTGTGTTTTTTTCTATGCACTTTTTCTTTTAATGTCTTGTTTAGAGAAGAGATCTAAATGTATGTATACGTACAATAAATAATTGATGTATATAGGCAGGGGTGGGATCCTACCGATTTTACAACCGATTCGCTAACCCTGTGCACTGATAACCAGCAGTGTTCTGTATGGTTCCATTCTTTATTATTGTTTGCAATAAAATTCTCATCTAGCTGAATTGTTTGCAAAGTTTAGCAATGGACAGAAGCTGAGCTGTGAAGGAATTTAAGTGTTAAAATGAAATTTAATATCTGGCTTTTTGCAGTACAGTACAGCTCCAACATGTATATCAGAGCAAAACACTGCAAGAATTTTAAATAAAAAGCATATTAGGGGCACCCATCTCACTTCCAGTAAATAAAAACTACCCCAAATTGTCACTAATGGCAATGGGCTCATTTTACCACTAATGAGATCAAACAATCAGGTATAATAATTTCAGCTTAGTAAGAGGTGCAGAAATGTATGCCAGGGCCCAATGTGATGCCTAATTTCCCTTGGGCCATAAGAATATAATGCAATGTGCACTTGCCTTAATGTTCATCTGCAGACATTGTCATGGAATTTATACTACTGGCCATACCTGCTCTGTTATGTAAAAGTGTTCTTGTTACTTTTCTCTGTAATGTTCTAGTTTTTCCTTTAAGTAATCATTACTTTTAAATAGAGTGCTTTATACCTTTTGCACAGCAAAGGGATCCCGTTGTTCGTTGTCCAGATACTTTTCAAGGTTAAAGAAAGTATTATAAAATACATGAGCCATTCTACATCTCTTCAAATCTCCTAGAGTAATTCTTCCTGAAAAATCAGCATATTAACTATCAGCATATTAACTATCAAACCAACAGTTCTTAGTGGATTGGAATAAAAGAGCCCCTAGTTCATGTATCCCATAATAGTGACTAAAGATTTGTCAAGGAGAGCAAAGAGTAAGAACATATTTCAAAGCTGAATCACAGGTTTCTCAGTAAGCTTATTTCCAAAACAAGTTGATTGATTTTGTGAATCCAGTTTGAATCAGTAGGCACCAACCTGATCATGTGAACTTGTCACAAGCCTTTTCCATGAATGTATGTAAAATGTCATTTTGTATAGATGCCAGGTAAGTTGTTTGAGTTGTGTTTACAAACAAAGAAACTTCTTACCTCTAGTTTGAAACATAGCAACCGCTAGTAGAAAAACATTACACAGCGGCTCTAACATTATTATTACAGGTATTCCTTGAGATACAACTGTAATGAGCCTGCCCACTACAATCACATGTTGTGGCAGTCATTAAGTGAAGTGTCTCATTAATGATTCCCCCCAATCCTGCTTTCCCCAATGAATCATTTAAACAAATATGCATGTTATTAAATGGATTATGTGGTGCTTTAGGGATGGGGGAAGTCCTCAGAGATCTAGCATAGAAATCTATATTGGGGCACTGATAATACCGTAGTTTTTCCAAAGTAGATTGAACTGACCAGGATGATTTCAAATAACATAACTTGTTAGCACTGAGCATTTTTGTTTTGGGCGAAGTTATTTATAAGATTAATTGCTAAGAATGAATTCAGATAATTTAACAAAAAGAACTCAGTGCATTTTGTCATATGCCTTTCAAAAATGCCCATTTGGAGAGATTTACTATTGCTTTCAATGTGATGTGTGTTGTAATTAGCACTGTGTTTCATTTGTGAGTAAATGGATGATCACCTCACATTATAGACATATTTGTAGGATGTTATTATCCCATTAAAAATAACATTCATAAATTCATCTATAAGGCACTTAATTATCACATCTATTTGTAGAGGTAGTTGCAAATGTCTGAATGACTTTACTAAATTCCATATTATATATTATGGGAGATCAGGATAATGTTTTATGATTTTCACATTAATCAGAGAAGAAGTTGAAGATGCAAAGACTAGTAAGCTAGTGTCAAAGCTACTTTGGGGCATATTTCTATAAAGACATAAAACTCTTTAAAGCATTATAAGATCAAATTTACTAAAAAAGCAAAACAGAACAAAATGACCTGGAAGAAAAAAATATCATATAATAGCTCTTACCCTCATATTCTGGTTTTACTAGATCAAGCATTTGGCACAATAAGTCATGGAAGGGCAACGGCTCAATGCCCATGGATTCCATCCTCTCACACTGTTCCTCATAAAAATATTCAAGTTCATACATTGATAGTGTGCCATCCCCATCTAAATCCATGCATCGGAACCAGTATTCAATACTACAAAACAAAGAGATGAATCAAGATGCATTTTTATAATATAGCAGCAGGTAACAAAAGTTTTGGGGATGACTTTCATGTACACAGTACAAAATAAAGCTTTGCCTGGACTGTCCCTTATGACAGTTTGCACTGAAAATGGTACCCTGAAGTTCAGACGATGAGCTCAGATACATAATACCCTCAATTGTTCAGTAGAAAATTCTGTACTCTTTTCCTATCCTAAATCTGACTTTCAGTATCTTTGAGAGAGTTTCGGAAGGAAAAATGTTTATTTTTTAGCAACTTGATAAAGTTTTATATGACAAAAACAACACATACAGAATGAGAATACATAACTTGAAAGAAGACTTCAGTAATAAAGATAATTTTCACAATACAAGGCACTGTCGTAGGTAAATTCTTTCTTATTTAAAGCTCTTCTTATGTTAATTTTGTGGCTGGTAGTCAGTGAAGCTGGAGTGGCATGGAAGGTAGATGCATTCTGTGTTTCTTTTATCTTTTGGACCAGTTAAAGAGTAAACACACACAATGTACAATAAACTAATTAAGAAATTAGCCACATACAGAAAATAGTTATCACAAACTGTTTATATTTTAGATATTTATTTTACCTTGTGAGACATCTTTTGTCTTCTTCCGAGATCAGAAACCACACAAAGTCTGCATAGCTCATCTGGTTTTCTTTTTGTTCTTGACTTCCTCTAAAATATATAAAAATACATAGTTAATTCCTTAATTTAAAAAAAACCCAGAGGCATTATTTTAAAAAATCGCAGTGATTTGAAAAAGATAAAGGCAAAATTTCTATCTCTAAAATGTATTAAGGTTATCCATTACCTAATTCCTGAAAAAGTAATGTTTTATTAACCTGAAGACAGATTTGGAATCTTATCCTAATATTACTAACATAACAACTTTGAAATCATGAGTCTGGGTTGAGTTTTAGTGCAATAAATGTGAGGACTGCCTTTGAAGAATCTTCTTCTGATAAGGCATCAATGCCTTTTCACAACCCGGAATATGAATTGAAGCCTATTAGGGAACATTTAGTGGTAAACGCCTCTCAAAGAGGAGAGAAAACAATGGTAGAGTAGCTATTTGTTACCATGATCCCCCTCATAACCCTAAGTAATTTAAGCCAAAATTCAAAATTCAATTTTTTTGAAATGTTACCATCCTACCTTTATGTTACTACTTACCTAAGAACAGCTCCAGTGAATATTCTTTCTATAATTCTGTTTGACAAAGCTGTAGATTAAAAACAAAACAAAATGTGAGGGGTAGTTTGTAGGTTGATCAGGAGACAGCTATGTAAAACGTTACCTACCTAAAGTTCATATTTTATTGATAAAAAGACCTGACTCCTTGCTGGAACACAGGAAAGCCACTGGAAAGGAATTACAAAACCACCACTCAAAGGTCTTAGAAAACAAATAGATTCTTATGAAAAATAGCTGAAATTCTTGTAACCTAATAACCTCTTCAATAAATCTTGTTTAGAAGGCTCTGCTTGAGAAACAGATTACTGTTTGAATTAACTAGAGCAGGGGTGTCAATGTGGCAACTCATGGGCTGGATGAGTCACACGCAGGCCACACCCACCCCGGCTCTTCAAAGGCAAAAATCATTGCAATACGCCGTGATACGTCATGTGACGCACTCGAGTTTGACATAGGAATGTTTATCTTATTTGTAAAGATAAGATATATGAAGAGTAGTACATGCATGCAACAACATCCAATTGTATGCAAAGTTCAACATGAGCGCTATCATTACACATTTTCCTAGATACAGAAAGTCCTCAAACTATGACCAAAATGCAGCCTGTCCATTATGATTGCAAGTGATGATAACCATTAAGGGAGACAGTCTAGCTTAACAACTTACCCTCTCTGAATGCACTGTTAAATGAATGCACAGGTCATTAAGTGAGCACGGGGACCTCAGAGGTGGGGAGAGGCCCTCTAGTCAGCTGGGTCCATAAAGAAGGCAGGAAAGCAGCAAAAAGCTTTCGATAGCCAAAACCAACTCAATGGTGGGGAAGGGGAAAGGGGAGAAACCAGAGGTGATGTTCAGCATGTTCTGACCAGTTCTGGAGAACCGGTAGTGGAAATTTTGAGTAGTTCGGAGAACCGGTAAGTACCACTCCTGACTGGCCCCAACACCTCTCTGCCTTCCGAGTCCAGCTGATCAGGAGGAAATGTGGATTTTACAGTATCCTTCCCCTGAAGTGGGAAGGGAATGGAGATTTTACAGTATCCTTCCCCCGCCATGCTCACAAAGCCAAGGCCACCAAGCCATGCCATGCCCACAGAACCGGTAGTAAAAAAATTTAAATCCCATCATTGGAAAGGGCCTAGCTGGATTAAGGCCTAATGCCATGATCCAATGCCAGAGATGCTTCCAAACAAGTTTCTGTGCTTGGCTGATAAAGCCAAGTTGTGGGCTGGGCCTCTGCCTCAGTCAGCTAGCTGTCAAATAACAGCAAATCTCTCCTGGCTCTTGTTAGCCTTGGAGGAAGCCTTAAGAGGTTTGCAATCTCCTGACATCCAGCTGACTGGGGCAGAAAGCTCTGAAAGCAGCTTCCATTTCCACAAGGAATTATTTGAGCACTGAAAATGATGGCTGCTTCCAGGAGGTACGGGCAACAGATCCAAGTGCTGTGGGGTACCATCATGGCAGGATGGTAGGGGGAGAGATGCAGGGAGGTACTGCAGTGTCTCTGTGAGGGTGAATGACCCAGGGGACACTGCAGCCATTGTAAGTTTGAAACATTGGTATATAACTTTTGGGAGGGTCTGTCATAACTTTGAACAGCCATTAAGTGACTTGTTATATCTTGAGAACTACCGGTATACTACATATATTGATATGTCTTTAATACACATCAATTTATTATGATTATTTTAGGTTTGAATTCCTTTCAGTCATTGTTTCAATCTTTAAATGCAAGAATTCTTTTTTAATATGTAGAAGAGCCATTAGGATAAATCCGTACAGCATGTCACCAATTTGAAATGTTCAGTCAAATATTAAAATTGTGAACATTTGCATGCTTCCATTAACTGTAGGATAAAAACAAAATTTCCAGGTACAAATTAGCATTATTACAGGCTTAGAGAATAATGAAGAAGTTTGGATTTACTTTCTGTTTATGATTGTTTTCATTTTCACCTATCTTCCTTTGCAATGTTATGGCAAACAGATAATTTTGTTTAACAATTTGATTTGATCTACCCGTTGTATACTTCAGCAGTGACAATCCATATACCAATAACAATAAGGACTGTTTTCCTATAAGGCAGTTCTGAATAGCTGTTAATAATTAAAAAAAATAGGAAGCTATATAGGAAAAGGAGTAAAAAATAGAGGAAGTTAGTTAAGTTTGATAATGAATTACCATAAGGATTGTTTGTCTATGTAAATGTACATGCGTGCATACATACACACACTTGGAGAAAAGCATAGTATATTTATAATAAAATGTTCTTTTGTATTTGAATTTCCTTACCTTGATCATTGTATCTAGCCAAATCACTCTGATTGATATAGAGATCATGATCAGTGTCCAATTCCCAGAATTTACAATAAATAACATAGAAGTGCTCATAGGAAAAATAATCAGTGATTTGATTAATGTCTTCCTCTTCTTCTAAGAGGGCTAGAGTCTGAAAAGATGATAATGGATTAATTCTACATAAACAGATGCTAGGAAAGTACCAGAAACCAGGTATATTTAACAAACGCCTAAATTTGTATTTGATTGTGCTAGTACTAGATACAAGAGTTCCAGTAATCAGTAACAGATTGCTAGAATCTTCTTATTTAGTATGTCTAGTTAGATACATACCTCTAGTAGTTCCCTCATATTTAAAATAAGCCTATCTTTCCAGAATGTATAACATTTTTATTGCTAATCCAACTGAATTGCAAAAAACACTGAATATTTTAAGGTACATATTGTTCATATGGATGTAAAAAATTAACATACTTGTAGAAAGTTGCTTTTCCTCAGCTCTATTAATGATATTTTTCCAGACCACGATCTATTCACTATGTAAAATATTCTTTGAATAACCTGGAAAAAGATTAAATATAAAACTCAAAACCACTGGCAAATTAAAGATAAAATGCATCCTCATGACAGTTGTATAGATCTATGTCCTTTTTTGAGTTTTAATCAGAAAAAAACAGAAGACTCATAATGTTGGAAAGGGCCATCAAGTCACAGAATCATAGGGCTGGAAGAGACCTTGAAGATCTTCTAGTCCAACCCACTGTCCAAGGCAGGAGCCCTTATACCATCCCAGACAAATGGTTGTTCAATCTTTTCTTGAAAACCTCCAACAATGGAGCACCCACAATTCTGGCAGTCAAGTTGTTCCATCAATTAATCATTCTCACTATAAGGAAATTACTCCTTATTTCCAGGTTGGATCTCCCTCTAATGAGCTTTTACCCATCGCTTCT